TTTTTCGTTGCCCAATCAACCGCCTACTTTGAAATAAAATTTGTATGTACATTTTTTTTGATCAATTATTTTTTTTGCAATTCTTTAGGCATTTATATTTTTGAAGAAGAACAAAAGGGTAGAAGAAAGTGAAAACGTGGAAGAAGAAAAGGGAAGAAGAATGAGAACATGAAAAGAGACGGAGGAGAGATAAAGAAGAGAGATGAAAAAAATGATGAGAGATAGCAGTTATATATTAGTTCATTTTTTAGATTAATTGTTTTTAACTTCTCATTGTAGTAGTTATTATATTTTATGTTTTGAAATGAATGAGAAATTTTGGAATTCTCTCAAATCAGTTTTATTTATAGAAATAGCTTTTAATAGGTGGTTACTTATGTCTTTTCGCCTGAGGAATTGGCATTGCATTAAGTGCGCATGGACTAATGGGCCAAGCAATGAATGTAAAAATAGAATTAAATTTTCTCTTTCCATTTAAACGCGACTTAAAAAATAAAGACACGATGCAGTGACGGATCTAAGAATTTTACTAATGGGGTCAATTTTTATTGTTAAATAATAAGCTTGCAATTTAAGTCGAAACGCTCATTTCATTGAAAAAATGTATTTACTATAAATATAAATATCAATATGTACCACCAAGTTTTTAAAAACTTAGTATTCGTATCATCTTCAATCATTTAAAAAAATAAACAAAAAAATAAATAAATTGAGATTTCAAAGTATTTGTAATGTAACTAATTGCTTTAATTCTCTCTCTCGTCTCGGTCCCCTAAAATCCGTTGTCACTCGTCGGTTTGTACGCCTTCCTCAGAGGCGGTCCAGCTTCCCGGTGGTCTGTTCTTCGCCGCCTACCCAAGGCCCTGTTCGAGGTGCCTCTCTATTTGCTCCAGCCGTAGGATGCGGGCGACTTCTCGACTGCCCCGACTTTTGGAGTCGGTTCGTAGGTACAACTCGTCGGTGTTCCTGGGTCCGTGGTGGGGCTAGTAGAGGTGTTGTGTCGGGGGCTGGGTGTGGCTCAAGCTACTTGCATCGACCTGTCGGGGCGCCTCTTTTGTTTGCCTTCTCAAATGGTCTCGAATTCGGTTTTGTTGTTTCTGTAGGTGTCCTTGCGGTCTCTGGTCGTCGACTCCTTGGATTTGTAGCGGAGCTTGGGCCGAGGTGCCTTTTTTTGGGGGCCAGGAGGAATGGTCGCGGTGGTATTGACGCAGCTGGGCCATTGTTGTAAATATTTTTACCGGAGTAGAATCGAAAGATTCAAACACCGGGTCGTGTCTCACGAGGAAGGTTAGCCAGAATATTCTGTACGTTTATTCAAACACAAATGACAGAAATAAAATTCCTAAACATTCTAAATCCAAAGATTGGTTTGGTTTAATTATCAACTAATGCGAAAATTCAAATAAAGCAAATAGAAATATCAAAGCAACAACGAAGAACAAGTAGGATTTGAGAGGTTAGGGAGTCGGGGATATCCGTTTGGTTCAAATTGCAATCAGTGGGCAAGTGATTGTTCAGTTAAGTGATTTGAATAACATACACGTTCAAGTACTCATTCTCAATAACTCTTCGTAACAAGAGAACAAACTAGAACGGCAAATTACCAAGTCATTTAACTCCTTGGCAATACAGTTACGAACAAGCCTAGCTTATGCGAGCCTATTTCGACCGATTCCTCCTCTTTCGGTTCTAAAAATCGATTAAAGAAGACTAGAGGGTAGTTAACCGACTAATCAATGGAATTACCAATATCAAGCACGAGTAAATCAAATTCAATTAAAACAATTGTAAGTTGAAGTGTCACCCTTCAACAATTCTCAATACTCAAGCCTGACAATTGAGAAACCCTAAATGAAGACTAACTCGCATAGGACGAACAATCAACAAATACCGACAATCACAAACGAAATCAAAACATCAATCCCCTATCCCTAGCATAAAGATTTAGCTACTCATCATAAACTCAACCATCATATTCTCATCAAAGAAAGCCATAACATTCATCAATGAAAATAAAAAGAGAACTTACGATTAATACGAAATTCAATGTCGAGAGAACAACGAGAAATCCAAATCCGAGAGATAAAAGGGAGTTTTTATTCTCCAAATCCTATCTAAGATGATAGATTAAGAGAAAGATGGGTTCTAAAGGTAAAAAAACGAAAATATCAGGTCTGGAATGCAGAAATTATGCCCTAAGCTCGAACAAATACGTCCCCAATTCAAAATCGCGAGAAAAACGCGTCAGTTGAAAAACAGGCCTTAGCGCCGCTATAAGCCTTCTTAGTTGGTTTCCTCTGTCCCGCTTAGCTGCCAAAACCCCGCTAACCACAATGGCCTTAGCGGCGCTAAGGCCCTGGCATCTTTGCACGACTTCACGGTTTGGGCTCGTTCGGGCTCGTCTGGTATCGGAATTCGATTCTGCTTTTTTCTGTGCGTTCCTAACGAGCTCCTCTATTCAATTATGCTCTTGAAACCAATTTTTAAGGAAGAGAAAATTTTCCCAAAGCTCCTGACCTACACACCAAAAACAAAGAAAAACCGGAAAAACACACGGAAAATACAAGAAAAACTGAAATAGATCAAATCATGCAATAAACCACAAAAATGAATAATACCTACAAAAAGACTCAATATTGGGGGGAAAAAAAGACAAAAAGACAACGAAAAACACAACAAAAATGGGACAAACAACTCCCCCACACTAAAACCTTTGTTCGTCCCGAACAAAAAGAAAAGAAAAGACACAAAAACAAGCAATCGAGCATGGATAATAGTTTCAGATAAGACAAGTCTCAAATTAATCAACTTAGCCGAGGATAATTCCAATGACCAATATAGCACACCTCAATTACAACTCGAATGCAACGCTTTGAAAACAAACTCTCAAGAACGGAAGTATAATATGCATATGCCTCACTCGGTTTCTTTCATGACTATAAAACTGGGACGCTCAAATTGGTCGATCATCATGCATCAACATAAGCTTGCTTATCATATATTCATACTCTAAAACAACCAAAGATCATGAACTGCAAATCAAGAGGAGTTTCAAGGTTGCATTGTAGGTATCAAAGGAA